GAGGGAGGGTGGGCGCCCCGCTCCCTGAGCCTCTAGGGCCAGCGGGGTGGGGTGCAGCCAGGTCTTAGAAGCTTGAGGGGGGGCAGGGGGGGGCCTCGTCCCCGCCTGAGGGGCCGAGAGGGTCTCCCGAGGTGGTCTCCTCCCAAATCAGGTGGCAGAAGTGCTTGGTGTGTGGTTTTGGTGTTAGATGCTCTATTTTCTCCTTTAACAGATTTCATGGATCCCTCTGGTTAGGGCTAGGGAAGGAGACTTAAAATTGGTAAAGGAATAAACAGGAGAGTGGCTCTGAGTAACCAGCTGGTGAGTGCTTTTGAAAGTGTCTCTGGGAAGAACCTCTCAAGAAGTGATTTAGACATTTGTCTATTCAGTAGCATATCCTGTGGTGTTCAGGGAGCCAGTCCTTGAGAAGTGGGAAGATTGGGAAGGATTCAGATGATGACTCGGAGACTTAAAAGCCTGCTTTAAACTGATAGACCAAAGAAGTCCATTTATTTCAAAAAAAAAAAAAAAGGCAGGAGGTGATGTGCTGGGATCATGACGGTTCAGGAGAGCGCTCTCCTGGCAGCTGATCTCTGTCTGCGTGGTGGGCAAAAGGGGCTCTACCTCCTGCCAGCCAGGCCTGGCAGTGCTACAGCAATCTAGGGTAAAACGCTAAAGGCCTTTTTTTTTTTTTGACAGCAGGGCAAGTCCATCCAGTGAACACTGAAAAATAAGACTATTTTCTCCTTCCATCAAGAGTTGAGTCCTGTTCTGTTTTTCAAAAAGGGCAGGGCCCCTTTGGGCTTCAAGAAACACACCCTGTATGGCAAGATTGGGTGTGGTTTTAAAATTAGTCAGCTATTCTGAGATAATGCATAGCTGACCTCACTCTGCTAATGAATTACCTACTCCGAATAGAAAGTGCGGTAAACAATTAAAATGGTTTCATTCAAAGCTTTCTGATTCAGTACTAGGAAATGACATTATTACAGTTTGACTGTAGATAGGAGTGTCTGTGTTTCCCTGTCTCCTCCAGCGCTTTCCTTTTAGCCATTTTGGCTTCCTGCCCTTGTCTCCAGCTGAACTTATGGCTGCTCAGGGCTAGAGTGGCACCAAGAGGAACAAAGCCCTTTCAAGTGCCACTGGGTTGGAGGCAGCTTTTCCTGCCTGCCTTATGATGGCAATGATCAAAAACAGTGACTAAAAGCTATCTATCTTAAAAGTCAGCAGGTACAAGAAAGCTCAGCAGGAGGAGAAAGGGATTTTAAATAGCTGAAAGAACATTTAACTGGCTGAGCCACTTGATGTTATTTCTGTTGAGTAGACACTTCTGAACACCACATCTCATCATCAGCCATGATTTCAGATGTGCTAGGGTTTGGTGGGCAGCACACTAGAGAACCTGGGAGAGGGAGATGGGGTCGGGAATGATAATTTTCTTTGCAGCTACTTAACACTTCTGACAACTTCAAATATCTGAACTTGTTTAAAGATTTAAGAAGATGATGGCAACTCTCAGCTAAGAGGGAGAGGGAATCATTGGAAGAGGGGTGAAGGCAAGGGCAAACGTTCTCTAGAAAGGGGGGCATACGTGGAACTGATGTAGAAGCATGGAAAAGCAGGGTCAATACTGACAGGGATTAGCTGTTTGCAATAAAAGTGAGAAGTAGGAAAAGAAATAGAATGTAGGAGTGTAGCCGTGTCAGGCAGGAGATGTTGCAAGGACAATGTCCTCAAGCCACAAAAGCATCCAAGTGTGCTAAAGTAGTAGTATTTATTTTAAGGTTTCCTACTGAGTCAGTCTGTTTCTCTCTGAAATTACAGAAATAGAACTGGGCCATTTTATAACCCCCGAGGAACCACCTGGGATTCTTCAGGTCTATCCTCGGCATCGAGCTGCTACCTATAGTGAAATGTCTTCATCCCCTCTGTCTCGTCACCAAATAACATTTGGGTGCCGGAATCTGTGTGGAGGCTGTGCTCTTCCATCAGTGTCACGGCTGAAGGTTTCCAGCCCTCCGGCTGCCCTTTCCACCACAGTCCACTTTACTGCGGGGGCCAGCTACTCCGGGAAGTGCTGAAACGACACGGGGAATAACAAGGCTGGAAGGCTTTTATCTAGCTGCAGAGTTCCTGCTGCTGTGCTTACACTGGGATCATTTGTTTTCCTGCTGGCATGGCTAATTTTCATCCTGGAATCACGTCACTGTACTTCTGCTGGCGCGGCTGTATCTCTTCTGGAGCAGCTGCTTTGTTTTTCTGCTAGCACAGCCCTAGCAGCCGGAAGGTAAATAAATCCCTTGGCCATTAGCACTGAATGAGCACGGTGTAAGATGTCTTTCTGAGCAGCAGGCTCAGCGAGGGACCCTTTTTGGCAGGGCTGCCGGTGGACAGCAGCGGGTGTTAGGGTCTGCTACCCCACGGCAGTGGAGCTCAGCAGGGCCTGCGGGCCAGCGAGGAACGGGCAGAGCACGGCAAGTCCCACTCAAATGGCTCCAGTTTGGTGAGTCAGGATTGAGGAAGTGCCACAGCTCATGTTGAGAAAGATTTTTCAGGGCAGTGAGTTCCTGCTGCCCATGATCCTCTGTGCTCTCCACATATTTCAACATCCTGCATTAATAAGGGAAGTAGATTTAACTGAACAAATAATCCCACAAATCAAGCAGCCACTGCTCCAAAGCTGAAATAGCTACTGAAAACATCCTGTTTTTTCAGTGAAGCTGTACTGGAAGTTAAGAAATAGCCCATTGAGGATTGTGCAATAGGAGTTCAAAGCCAAATGACTGTGTAGGAGCGAGCAGGGTGGAGCCAACTGTAGGTTTTGCCCCAGTGTCTCTCCTCAGCCCCGAAGGGGCTTACAGTAACAAAGCAGCCAGGGTATTGGTGAGGTGAGAAGCCTCGAACAGGGGGAAAAACCTCAAACCCCAGGTGGTTTTAATTATGAAAACGGTGCATTAATCCTTGAAAGAGCTATGCCTGTCCTTTGAAATTACAAGTTTCTAGTCTAGTTTCTAACTCCTCAGTCCAGTACTAAATTTATACTCGGTCCTACAAGGCCTCATGAGGAGTGGCTTGTCATGAAAATGTGCTCACAGAGATATTTAAGCAGTGAAAATTTACATGCAGAAGGACCTGAACCACTGGGCAGTAAGATGGCAGGGGTTAAATTTGTCACAGGCTTGCGGTTTCCCCAGGGAAACCAATCCTAATTCCAGTCATTTGACAACAAGTTTAAACCCAGGATTGCCATGCAAGAACATGTCAGGATTATATGAAATACCTGTCAGTGCTCTGATTGGCATAAGTCAAAAAGTTTTAGGGAAAGAATAAAAAGCAGAAAATATTGCCTGAACCCTGGTGCACCTGCATGTGCAATTCCTGTGCCCAAAGGGCAACAGGGACGCTCTGAGGCAAGGCAGTTTCCCTGGGAGAAGTGGTTGAATAGGCTGGTGTTCTGCACTGGGAACATGAAAGAACTGCTTCTTTGTGCAACTCCCTGCATCGCAAGGCACTGGGGATGCACCGAAGGTGATACGGGCTCTGTGTAGGACTGGGTGAGTATATAGAAATCCGTGTTGGGCTACCACCAATGCAAAATGGGGTAGAGCCAGGAGACAGCTGGGACAAGGGGAGGGATGGTGGGTGCTGCTCCTGTTCTTGGTCCCTCCTGGGCATCTGCTGACAGAGGCCAAATGACCAGATAGGCCTCAGCTGAAGGGCTTTTCTTTGCCAAGGCCTCTGCCAGCACGGCCACAGCAGCACAGGCCGCAGAATCACTCACCAACCTGCCTGGGCTGTTATTAACCTGTCACGGCTTGCTGCCGGTAGCTAAGCTGGGAGTTCCTCAGCCAGGGTAAGTTCACACCCTCGCCATGTGCCACTGTGCCTTTCCTCTGCCAGCAAGCCTCGAGTGCTTGGAAGCAGTTTCACAAGGTATTTCTGCTCCATGCCGCCCTCCTGCTCTGCTGAGCTTGTTAAGCTTGGGGTGAGATGTGGCACTGATTCACAGTTTGCAGAGCTGTTTGCCCACCACGCTGCCCTAGGTTTGCATTCAGATTTCAGCCTGACTACACTATCACACTCAAGTGGTTTGAGTCAGCCCCTGTGAGCACACACACGAGGTGATGAACAAGTAATGCAGCCAGTGCACTTCACCCAACTTGCCCGGATTCATCAAGCCACAGCCTTAAAGGAAGTACAAATTTTTTTTTTTATTCAGAGAATCACAATAAGCTACTAAGACTCATGGCTGCTTTTCCCAGCATAGTTTCCCAAACATTCACATGCAACTTTTGAAAACATCAAGTACACTTCAAGAATTTGGAAGATGCACCATCATAAGCAAAACCTGCATGAGACATTGGGATTTCTGCCAGAGCAGCAGCCTCCTGCGACAGAAACGGGCAGGAGCCCGGTGAGCAGAGCAGGAAGCGAGCGGGCCGGGCAGTGACCACGCGCTTTATCCGAGCGTATGCTTGGGAACCTTCTGCAGAAGCAATTCAATATCATCCTGGATCTTGATGGTTTCGAAATTCCGGCTGTAGCGTTTGAAGGGCACGCTGTCGGGGCCGATGAGGAACTTCTCGAAGTTCCAGGAGACGTCGTTGCGGCAGACCGGGGACCAGGTGATGTACTGCGGGTTGGTCATCAGCGAGGTGGGGTCGTCGTGCGGAAAGGGCAGCGCCTCTCTCAGGAAGGTGAAGAGGGGGTGCGCGTTCTTCCCGTTCACCTCGCACTTCTCGAACAGCGTGAAATTGGGTTTGTACCCGTTGCCGGGACGAACGTGCTCCAGCATGAGCGGGATCTCCTCGTTCGTCGCATTTTCCTAGGAAACAAAAACCGAACCCGCGCCCAGCCCCGTGAGAGCCCCGTGGGGGACGGGGCGGCCCCTCCCCGGCGCCACGGCCCCGCCGCCCGCCCTACCTGGTGCCCGAACTGGTTGCAGGGGAAGCCCAGG